AAACAAAACGCTAACAATAACCAAATGACTAATTTAAAAAAAAGAATACAATGTTTTTAAAATAAGATGCCAAGCCAATACTGCAGAACGGCAAGTTGTTTATAACTAAGTACAAAATTTGAAAGTGGTTCTTTATCCTAATGCTAATGTACAGTCCCTTACGTTAAAATTAAGTTAAAGATATGCGGCCTAAGTAGGACGCGTATAAGTAAAATTGTACTGTAATCAGACTGGACATGTCTAATGGACAAATTTAGAGGATCGCAAGAAAAGTATGTATAAAACAAAATATCATGGATATTTGTGACAATTAGTTTAATTAATTTGGATTTTGCTCATAATTCGTTAATTTAAAAATGCAAACGTCGAAAAAACGAACGATCAAATGACAAAAATTAAACAAATTAAGAAAAAAGAAAAATTGTTTCATTGTTCCTGTAATGTGTTTTAAGATCTCTCAGATTAGCGGGGCTACGATTTCTTAATTTGTCTTCCATGCTTATCCCATACATTTTCTATGGGGTTTAAGTCGAGCGAGCGTGCTGACCACCCCATAGCATTGATTTCAAAATCTTGAATGACAACTACAGCCGCAGTATTGTGGTGTGCATTATCATGCTTAAAAACAATCCTATAAAAGAGGCAAATGTCACTCTAATTTCTTCCAAAATCTCAGTTACATATCGTGTCACTGTTACTGACCCATTCTCAATGACGCGGAGTTCCTTACGTACCCCATACATTCCTCTCCATACCATTACTGATCCTCTAACATATGCCTCTTTTCCAGTGATGTTGTACTGATCGTGCCCTCTTGGCTTCAGTCAAAATTTTGGATCGTATGAGTATAGAACTACACTTCAAACTTCGTCATTCCAATTTTTGTGATTGTCAGCCAAATTACCTCCAGCCACTCGATGGCATGTGGCAAAAAGGGGGAATCTGACAGGTAAATGTGAATTTATTCCAGCTGTTTTCAGTCTTTTTCCTTCAGATTTTGTGCTATCTACAACCCCTCCAACTTCTAGGAGCTTCGTTCTTATCTAGTAGTAGTTTAGGTCCGATTTCTAAGCACGCTAGTAACGATGAACGGATAACCGCTGACAACAGTTTTCCGTTTACGTCAACAACCTCCGAGTCTCTTATACTGTCCAGTCTGCTGATACCTCTTGACGAATGGGTATACCACAGATTATAATACTAGTAAAATTTGTTTGTAGGAGTGCCCAGTTTTAATTGAAATAAGTGCCCTAGCAACGTGGCTTTTACATCTGGCATGATCAGTTTCTTTGCAGTAACAATTCACATTTAACACGATAAACAAGGCAGTCAAGGCAAAAATTTAAACAAAACCTAAATTTAAAAACAAATTCAAATGTTGGCAAAATTTTTCACACTGTGAAAGAACGCTACATTACACACTCTATACTAATATAATAAGTCGGAAGAGTCTTTTTATGTTGTTGTTTTTTTAAACCCGTTTCTTTTTGGAACTATCATTTTGATTTGACATATTGTTTCTGTATATGATAGCCAGATTTATGAGAACTAGTATAGGCTAAGTAGCATTACTTTACACCTCACGACTAGCCTTAAATATTGCTTAAATAGCCTGATAAAAAGCGCTCCCGAACTGCTTTATCCGCGTACGCTGGCGTAATGATTAGTGATACTTAAATACAGTGTTCTACAAAAATATTGATCTATACTCCATCTCAAAGAAGTCCGCCTTATCATATGTCCATTTCTAATACATAAGCCACAATAAGTTAATATAATACAATAACTATAAAATATAATACAATAACTATAATACAATAACTAATAAATTGGCAGATTCATCATAGTAATAGTTTATATACATTTTATATATAAATTTATATATTTTATTTGATTATGTTTATAATTGTATATCTTCATGAGTTTACATACACCTGACGTTTTAATATGTACTTAAGTAATATACATTTTTATTATCTTATTATTTTTATCATAATTTATTTTATAAGTATATATATATATATATATACTTAAGTATAAAAAAGTTAATATATATACTTATATATATACTTATATATATATATATATATAAGTATATATATATACTTATATATATATATATATATAAGTATATATATATATATATATATATATATATATACTTATAAAATAAATTATGATAAAAATAATAAGATAATAAAAATGTATATTACTTAAGTACATATTAAAACGTCAGATGTATGTAAACTCATGAAGATATACAATTATAAACATAATCAAATAAAATATATATATTTATATATAAAATGTATATATATATATATATATATATATATATATATATTATATATTATATATATATATATTATATTTTTTATTAACATTTATATCTTATGTATTTTATTTCGATGTGCTACAATTTTTTTTTTGTTATTTTAGTTTAGTATTAACATATTACCTTTTTATTACTCCTACTTCATTATATCTCTGCATCATCCCAAGGTAGACTGGTAGAGAATGCCTTAGGCATTAAGTCCGCCTATATACCACATGTGTATATGAAGTTTTAAATAAATAAATAAGGTATTACGTGACAAATATTTAAATGTAAAAAGTGATTTATGAGCGTTATTATTAGGCATAACATATTAATCCTTACGAACGAAAATTACTTCATCATCAAGACAATTTTATGAAGATAAACTTTGCTTTTATAGCATGTTATTTTGACGCATAGTTAAAGAGATAATGAAAAAATAAAATAATTCAACACTGCGCTTAGTGCGCGAAAGCCGCATAACCGGCCGATGTGAATCCAAAAAAACCAGCGTTGAATGCCCATATAAGCGAGGTGACATGTCGCGCAGCTCTGACGCGTGATATACGCGGGTAAAACCGCGGGGCACAGCTAGTAATTACATAATAACTAATAATATTTGTGGCCAGCACTCACGATAATTATGTACAACAGAAGAAGCCTTTTTTGCGTTCCTCTAAATTTGTCCGTGAGTGTATTATGTTAACCTAAATTTTAACTTTAATTCTAACAGATTCTAACAGTTGTTTACGAGTTGGTAGAACTAATTTTCTACTAAGTAGTCCGTCTGGGAGTAATTTATACTTAAACTGTACAACGATAATTATGAAAAATAATATTTAACTAAACCTAGCGACATTTTAGCAATTGTAATTATATAAGTTGATGTGATACAATGTACACCAATAAACTACTACGAATAGAATAGAATAGTAGCGTATTATTGCGTCTTTTTTTTAGATCTAATAATAATCTCTATATATAAAAATTACGTGTCATGTTGTTTGTCCGCGATGTACCCCTAAACTACTGAACTGATTTCAATGCAATTTTGCACACTGTGTGCATTTTCGTCCAACTTGAGAGATAGGATAGTTTTTATCCCGATAAATGACACTCAAAATTTTTTATTGCGAGTTTAAGGATTTTTGTAGGAAGGGTCGTTGGAAAGGGCAGAACAACGTCTGCCTGGCGAGCTAGTAATAGTAATATAATTTAGCTTACGTTATAATATACGCATAATTGCAGTGTATAAATTGTCAGGCGCTAATATTTAAGAAACCTAATATACCATGTGTGAGTGTGATCAGACACATCACTAGACACAGATATTCTTAATCGATGACACCACCTGTTCCCTATCTGGTAATACCAAACACTTTTCATAAAAACTGATGATGAGTCCCATATGCCATTAAGAAAATCAATCGTCTGCATTTAATTGCATCTGCGATGTTTATGATGATCTAGTTATACTATGTGAAATTCTATCCTTATTATATTATAAAAATGCCATCCAGATTGCAATGTTTACACTTATTATGTTCAGGTAGTTCATGTTTTGTTATCATTCCGTTTGTGTACCAAAATATATAAATAGATAAATAACAGCCATATTATGGTTGTAGCACGAAATGTTGACTCGACCGGGGAAGGACCACGCTCTCACATAATAACAGCGTAAAGTAGCATATTAATGCTGCTGTTTTTTTATGTTGAGCGTAGAGAACCGGAGACCCCTTTAACTGGAAACGAGGGATTTCATCTTAGTCCTCGGGGCTGCAAACACATCGTCATTTTGATTCTTAATTGAGGATAGATGTAGGTGTCATAGCCTCCACTCAGCATCAGATGGACTGTGTGCTCGCTATGTCTCATGTATCTCTTAAACATTTTCTTCTACTTCATCAACTCTGCCACACTTGTCAGATGGCTTAGTAGCCGCAGTACTAAACGTAGAATATTCGATGCAAGTCTAACATAAAGTTTCCGTAAATATACTGAGAGACTTAAAACAATATATTTTTTTAAATTGACTTTGGTCCTTTGGGCCTAGGATATAAACTGCTCTTATGGCTCTCTTCTGCAAAACAAAGATAACGCAACGCATTCAAATGCCATTTGTATGAATTTAAATACACCATGTTTGTATTTAAATAACTCTTGTACTCATTCAAATGTCTCTTGTTACAATTTTGGCCTACAACTGTCAACGGGCTAACTCACTTATATGTAATGAGGGCTAATAATTTTCTGCTCACCAGATGTCGCTAGTTGACACTGACGTTTTTTTGTTACGCAATGTAATTTAATTGAGAAGTTGGTTTTTAATAAAAGTTTATCAGTTTCTAGACTATTATATTAATAAACAAAACAATGCGTCAGTGGTTTGCTCTTTAATTTTTTACACATTTTTAACTTTTTTCTAATTTTTCTACTTTTATGAATATCTGTGGTTTGGTTCATTTATTTTTAATCTTATTAATATAAAATATAGCTAATAGTACAGAAAGAAACAATAACATTTATATTTTCCGAATAAGTTAACTTCCCCGCTATGAAATCTGTCAAATATTGTACCTTACTTTCTAGTGGCGCCGCCCTGGTGGCAGAAAAAGTCGTGGATGTCCAGAAATGAATGAAAGGTGACAATGGATGGTAACGAAAAAGTAACAGTACTTACTACAACCACAGAGAACACGATCTTGTACTTAAGGTTTGGTGTTTGCTGGAGCTGCTCGAGAGCTCCTAATGCTGGCAGCACTTCCTCGGCTGCTTTCGTCCAAACGGCTGCGTACTGTGACACCAGAGCACTCCTGGAGATTGTTGTAATGTCCGTTAATTTTTGTAATTTCAGTAATTTTGGAAAAATTGTTTCTTTTTTATATTACACACTATTTTTTTCCTTCAGCCCCTGACGGTAATAGTCTATCCAGACATCTTTTTTCAATAGCTTTGCGAATCCTAGGTAGAATTCGATTTTCTTTTGCGAGGATTATAGAATAACTAAAAGTAATAAATAGCATAGCATAGAATATAGATGTCGGTGTTCATGGGCCAGAGTATTCTCACCATTTTTTAAAGCGGTAGCGCCACGCTGCAGCTATATTATGGAAGTAGCACAAATGGATCGGCTCAACCGGGGTAGGACTACGCTCTCACAGAATACCAACGTGAAATAGCAGCCTAATGCTGTTCTGTTTTGTACGGTGAGTGTAAGAATCGGAGACCCTTTTCACTGGAACAGAGGCATTCCATCTTAGTCCTCAGGGGTGACAGCGCATCTGAATTTTGATTCTAAATCGAGTATAAATTTAAATGTCCATGGACCTGAGCATCCACTTACCATCAGGTGGACTGTGTGCTCATATGTCACCGTTATCCTATAAAAAAACTATTAGGTGAACTGTGTAGTCGTTAGTCACACTTATTCTTTAAAACAAGCCCAATGTTAAATGTAAAAATATAAATATTATAACCCAATATCGCAACTAAGTCGAATATATTTGTTACGGCCCTCAGTTGCCCCTTCAGAAGTCGACTGGGCTAGGGCCCATGAGTAGCCCACTCGACGGGCAACCAGAGGGTTCGGGCCCAAATGGCCTATGGATAATTATTATGTAATGGCTGATAAGCAAACACAAAGTTACCGAGTTCCGGTGGTAGGGTCGACCACAAGGTACCGTCAGGAGTGGTAGATGAGTGTAAGTGGTGTGAGAAAGTGTGCAAATGTAACCTGACGTCACCGATATAATCGGACAGCAGACCCACATGCGCTGCTCGACTCCACAGTGTGCGATCACTCCAGTGGGCGTTCACCCATATGTGAACTCAAGTCTAACGTCACTTTGCACAAACTTATACGACTTCGAAGACGAACGCGATCTCCTCTCGGGTCACAAATTTTTAGCGTTCTACCGACAAGGGAAAAATGTTTTCGTACGATATTAAAATTCCACACAAGCAACTCGTCGACGCAAATTAATGGCAATCGAAGTTAAGTTAATCACTCAAAACTCCAAAAAAGCCTCGTCGTCACTTAAACGCACGAAAAGGACAACGCAATCAGAGGCGTTCGTCACGCGACCGAACGATTCGAGCGTAACTTCCAGACTCGTAGGACACGGCCGCCCGGTGAGACGTGCGCGGGAATAGGTGCCAGGCGGTGACTGTTACCATCGGATGAACGCGCCGAGTCGACCGTTTTGAATGCAAGTTTTAAATGTTAAAATTTGGCCTAGACAATAATGGTATCCTATATATTAAAATCCGTCGAGAAATTAAAGCTATAGAAGAAAAGTGTGCCAAAGAAATAGACATATATAGATTACATACATACATACATACATTCAAACATACACACGAATAACATTGCCCTCCTACTTCTAGTGCTTAGGGTAAAGGGATAGTGTGTCACCTGTCAGGATGCTGTTGCGAGTCGTCGCTGTCCGAGTGATAACCATCGCTGGCAGAGTCCGTGTGCGATCGCGGCGTTGCCTCACCGCCGCTAATCACCCCTTCCCTCTCACCCTCCCCCGAAGGAAAGGGAGAGGCACTTTCCCTCTCTCCCTCCGACATCAACGACAGCAGCGCCGCGCAGCCGCGGGAGTAGTTCATCAGCACCCCAGCCACCGGTCTGGAATGAAGAAAAATTACAACTCTTTACCTCCCACTGCTAGGTACAGGCTTCTCCTCAATTCTCTTAGAAAGTATGGAGACTGGAGAAGTCAAGTTTTCATACTTTACATTTTAATCCTCATATTTCTCACGGGATTTTTTTAGAGTCTAGTTCAAAGTCGAAACTTATTCTAAATTACTTTTAGTAATAAGACGGAGGGAGATGGAAGTTTCAGTTTGTTTATTTCTATACACCTATCATAAATTACTTCCGTGATTCCCTTATAGAAATCGACATAGGATTTTATCAATTTTGAATTGGGGATAGATTAAAGTGTCTGTTGCGCGTAGTATCTCCACTTAGAGTAAAAGTAATATGTGTGGTCCATTCATCCATTATTCACTACAGTGTATAAAATTCCACTGCTTTTTTGACACAAAAATCCACTGGATTTTGCCTTAGTTACCACGCTTGGCAGGCGGGTTGGCAACACCTATTTTTATTTTATAAATGTTATTAGGAAGACGCTGCACAATAATTTTATATATTGTATGCCTACTGGCGGGACATAGAGAACCTATTTTATTATGTACATATCGAGATCTGTAAATTAACCTATGTACACAAAATTTTTGTGAACAGATTTGATTTGATTTGTTTCCTTCTGTCGCCTCATACGACACCCACGGGACGATATGGGTTAGTGGATATTCTTAAAGCTCCAGTACACGTTGGTCGAGCGCGCTTGGCGAGCCCGCTCGGCAGATTTTTGTGGTGCCGTTCACACGTTGGCGTGCTTCATTCTGCGTTGGTAGCTAGATGATGATGAACGTTAGTGATCGCGGCCTTATTTTTATGTTGCTCATGTTTGGGGTTCCATATAACTGATTCATTGTGATAAAAATCAATGAACCTAAATATTTCCTCGTTAGTCCATGTCGCCATGTTCGTGAAATAATTTTATTAAGCCGTAAAGCGTAACTGTGAACTGAACACTCGGCCAACGTGTGATCGCTATTTGCGGCTTGCGCCAAATTTCTTTGATTTGTGCACGGAAAACCGACACTATACGGCTTGTCGGCGAGTGTTGGCCACAAACGCCAAATACACACAAAACGGCCCAGTACACGTTGGCCGAACGCACTCGGCGAGCGCGTTTGGCCAACGTGTACTGCTACCTTTACACCTCGTTGGTCTAGCGTTCGTAAACATGATTGCTGATCATTAGGTCGGGTTCGAATCCCGGGTCGGGTCATAATTAATTATTTAGGTTTTCTGTCAAGAAATTCTCAGTAGAAGCCCAGAGTCAGGAAGTTGCCAGTGTTTCACCACCGTGCCTCGGAAAGAATGTAAAGCCGTTGGTCCTGCGCCTGATCTCTCTCTGATTGTGTTGGTTTATTGTCCCATCGGACTATAAGAGTGAGGGAATAGAGAGTACACCTGTGCTTGCGCGTGCACTTGGGCACTATAATCCTATCCTGCGACTAGCTACATGGCTAGCTGTCCGCCGTAATCAAAATTCGGTCTGGAGAATGTTAGTCTTACATCGCCACTACAAGGTAATAACATACATATGTATGCAACTTACACTGAGTATCCACTTACCATCAGAGACGGTTTGTTTGTCAAGCATATTTGCATAGTAATTTTCTCGCGCAAATGTAATCCTAGTAATTCTATACTGGAAAAGTAAAAGCGATAACTATTCTGTAAGCTTACACAATGACTTTCCTTTGATGCGAGACAATCGGAGATGCGTCTGGCTCTGTGAACGATTATATCATTGCCTCGTTGAGTGGGAGCGAGCGTTACGTCATGTTAGACAATACATTTAATTATGTGTTATTGTTGTGCGTGTCATAGCTGCACGAACTAATAAAAAGCCGGGATGAATGTGTGAAATTTTGTAAAAACACGTCATTATCTCTTCAAATTTTTAATTTCTATTTTGCACGTTATGTGTTCGATACACGGTAAAACAAATTTCAAACCATAGATAATACACAATATACCAGGGATTTCAAACTATACCACCGTAATAGAGACCAATATCGATAAATAGTCATCGTTGGATCTTTTTAACAAACTATTATAAATTAAATAAAACTAATTTTACTTGTAGTGGCGGTTAAGAATATCCACTACCCCATATCTTCCCGTGGGTGTCGTAAAAGGCGACAAAGGGAAACAGGCAGGAGATGGGCAGCAGCATCTTCCTGGGAACGGCAAAAATACAATAAAAAACTGCGGTTGCCAACCCGCTCGCCAAGCGTGGCAACTATGGCAATATACCCCCATAATGAAAGTTACGAAGAGACGGCCCCCAGTCCCCGGCGGCCCCGCTATTCCTGGCTACGGTGGCGACCATGGTAACGGCGGGGCAGGGGGTGCTAAGAATCTCCGGTGGTGGTTCGGTTGCCACCTACAACGACTCGACCTGGCAACATACAACGCACGCACCCTGAGGACTGACGAGAAGATTGTGGAGCTGGAAGAAGAGATAGACAAGTTACGCTGGCATATTATAGGATTATCCGAAGTCCGAAGAGAGGGGGAGGACACGGTAATCCTCGAATCCGGCAACTTGCTCTATCACCGGGAGGGCGACCATCTGTCCCAAGGAGGTGTCGGATTTATCGTCCACAAGTCTCTCGTTAACAACGTTGTAAAGATTGAGAGTGTGTCGACGAGGGTTGCGTACCTTATACTCAGAATCACCAAACGGTATTCGCTGAAGGTCATACAGGTTTACGCACCAACCTCGGCACACCCCGATCAGGAGGTGGAGGAAATGTATGAGGATATCTCTAGAGCCATGCATTCCTCCAAAACCCAATATACGGTGTTAATGGGAGACTTCAATGCAAAACTAGGCACAAGAGAGAACGGTGAGCTGAAAGTGGAGAAATTTGGAATAGGGCAACGGACCCCAAGGGGCCAGCAGTTGGCCGACTTCATGGAGAAAGAGGGACTCTTTATGATGAACTCTTTCTTCCAGAAGCGGCCGCACAGGAAGTGGACCTGGTCGAGCCCCGACGGTTCGACAAAAATGAGATTGACTTCATTATGACGACCAGACGACAACTGTTCAGTGATGTCTCAGTGATCGCCAGGGTGAAAACCGGCAGCGATCACCGAATGGTTAGAGACACACTGAACCTAAACGTTAAGTTGGAGAGGTCTCGTCTAATGAAGTCAACGCTCCGTCCCCCTCGTGCTCTAATCCAAAGTCCCGAAACCTTTCAGCTCGAGTTGCAAAACCGTTTTCAGTGCCTAGAAGACTGCAATGAAGTGGACGATTTGAATGACAAGCTCGTGGAAACTGTCCATGCGGTCGGAGCTAAGTTCTGCAAGACCCGCCGCAGAAGAACACAAAAACTCTCCGATCACACTCTTAATCTCATGGCTGTTAGACGGGAGATGAAGCTACATTCTTCAACAGATTTGACAGCATACAGGCAACTGAACAGACAGATCTCCAAATGCATGCGGCGGGACTTACGCAACTTCAATACAGCTCGTATTGAAGAAGCGATCGAGCGGAGCCAAGGCTCCAAAGTCTTTGCCAGAGATCTGTCTGCCAGAAAGAGCCAACTGTCAAAGCTGAAGACCGAATGTGGCAGCATCGTTTCCGGGGCACCTGAGATTTTGAGTGAGATTGAGAGGTTCTATGGGCAGCTGTACACGTCATCGTTGGAGCCACACGCAAGTGTGAGTAACGATCCAAGAGCGAGTCTTATCCGACATTATTCCGATGATATCCCGGAAGGAAGGTTCTCAAGTAGCAGCCTCGTACCGATAGGCAAAGAGTAGAGCGTGAGAAGGAGTGACGACCTAATAAGAAATGCAGGAAGTCGAGTTCTTATGCCAAAGCACGGCAACGGGGAGAAGTTTGACATAACGAGTAGACATATATCCCCCGTCCGTAGCATGGAGCTAAAGGTAAGATAAAAAAATTATGCTTTTTTGACATTTGAAAGGGACAATTTTATACTAGTTCATTGGACGTGGGTCTTTATATTCATACAAAAATCTATCAAAGTCTATCTCCCATTTTAGCTACTGTGGATATTATATCCACCGGTGTGCCCATGCTCGAAGGGTGGATAAAATTAAGCGAGGGGATAAACATTTTCTCCTTTCCCCGGGGATAAAATTGTCTCCTGCTCATGCCAGCCCTGATGAGGATGTTTCGTGTAGAGGCGAAACACGTGTCGAATTATCGACGGTGGTGTGTATTTCCTAGTGTAGTGGTGTTGAAAGTAGCGGTGCTGGGATTAGTGGTGACGGGGATAGTGCACGCAATTGAGGGAGGGCGAGAGATAATTTTATTTTTTCATACATATTAATCATACAAATTAATAAAATTGAAGTGTCTGTTTGTAATGTCAAAGTTACAGCTATTAACTAAATACATATGAAAGTATATACGGTACTTATAAAAAAAAACTATATTTTTTGTTTGTCTGTCAGTCTGTCTGTCTGTTTGTTTCTTCCGGCTACTCTCCGAAACGGCTGGACCGATTTTGACGGGACTTTCACTGGCAGATAGTTGATGTCAAAAAGGAGTAACTTAGGCTATTCATATTTTAGAAAAAGAATTAGGGTTCCCCGCAAAAAATAAAACCCTAAATAACACGCGAGCGAAGTCACGGGGAACTGGTAGTAAGCAAATAAATGTTGACCAACTTTAATTAAAAAAGGGATCCTACCACCTAGTACTTTATTTCTTCTTCTTCTTCTTTATCGGCTCGTAGAAGTTTTGTTTAGAATTTGCTTTAATCATCACGCTGTTCAGGCGAATTGACGATCGCAGAGTCGTCTTGAAGCTTTAACGGCGCTGTCCGTTGCCTATTAACTACTTTGCATCTAGCTACGTTATTGTACGTGGTAAAGCCACGCTGCAGCTATATTATAGTTGTAGCTTGAATGGGCGACTCGACCGGGGTTGGACCGCGCACTCACAAAATACCAGCGTTGAATAGCAGCTCAATGCTGCATTTCCTTTGGTGAGTGTA